GGATGGGAGTGTGGGTACTTTATGAGCAAACTATGTCGGGCTATGATAGATAGACCTTTCATTTTACGCAAATACGGGTTTGTAATGGCGATACATCTTCCTCTGATGCACGAGCTACGCGCAGTGTGGACTAGTGCTAACGCGCCAGGATGACATTGTAAGATAAATTCAAATTTGAACCTCATACACATCACAACATTAGTCTCAAGTCTCATTTGCCCGAGCGTGCCTGATTCCTTTTCCAACTTCTACTTCTACTTCTAATACTTTTTTGACTTCTGCCATCATAGGTATTCAAAAAGTATTACTGAATTTTACGTCTTTTGAAGCTTTCTTGTGAACTACTGATGAAGGCTGACAAGAAAGCTACACATCCGGTATAGTTCTGAGGCCCGAAACCGGTTGTGTGTAAACGCATATACATATATTTCTAAGTTTGTATCTTGTCTTCTAGCTCAAGTAGTACTTAGATATAATAACTTCCTTTGTTTCGGGTCGCGAATTCTTTGAAAGTTACTTATATGGGTTATAAAAATGTGCAAGGGACTTGTTTATATTTGTAAATAATTAAAATAATTTTTAAAAATTTTTAAAAATTCAAATTAGCCTTGTAAAAAATTTTTTTCATTTTTTCGGAGTGCGTGGCTGACGCCGCGCACCTTCATTCGAAAAAAATTTTCGTCGCCCCCCCCCCGGGCGGAAATTCTGGGTACGCCCTGCTGGTGAGTGTTCCTGTTCAATGCAATATTTTATAAATTATTCACGCACATTCCGAGAATTTCGATTACAAAGAATGCTTCCATCAATTAAACGGTCATTATAGGTCTGTCATCGTCTATTGTAGTCTGTTATATTATCATCGGCTCCATGATTCGTGTAGAGGCGGGGTTTTGCCAACTCAAAGCGTGGCGGTTTTTGATAGCGAGAGAGTACAAAAAACAATGGTATGACGTGGAGGTTTAACAAGTTTACCTGTGCTATCAGGCAAAGTCTGCAATACACCTCTACACAAATCGTGGAGACGGTCATACACAACACTTGCAGTCGATGTCGCTTTTCACTGGAAGGATGCCAAAAAATACTTTAGGTTGTAAATGTCGTTCAACTAATGAATGGAAGCGGTTCTGTAATAGTAATTCCCACAAAAAAATTTTTCGAACAAACTGATGATGAAATAATAATGCAATCTGTTATAAGATGCACCTAATAAAGTATATTTTGAGTCCAAAGAAACGATATGTCGCAAGTATTTGCATGTTATCCCTGCATTTGTGGACACGAAAACGTGGGGCGTTTCACACAGAGAATTCAATCGTCCAAAAATCTAAAATATGAATGCTAGGGTTTCCTTCTAATGATGCTGTGTTCTCTCCATCAATCACTTGCTCACATTGGATAAATGTCTTAGGTTACCGATCCATCATTACCTCATGCAGATTATTAGTAAGCAATCCGATTAAGAGCTGCTCATGGGAACCCAATACAACAAATTTCGGAATTCCGAAATCGTGACACTCCATCGACAACGATTCGCGAAGTTCTGCTTGTATTCTCCTGAACCGCATTGCCAGTCTTTCTCCTGGCTTTTTTCACTTTATGATTGGTATATGCCGAACGGATTCTCTTTTTTATAGATGCTCTATCTTAGTATAGTAAGTGGATGTCAAAGTGAACAAGCTATACGACTCCAATTCGTCCGTTCATGTTTTTTAGCTTTTTTTCTTATATTACCAAAGATAATGTATTATATATAAATAGGTCATGAGATTTCATTTTCTATAGGGCTAGTGGAGAATAGGGAAAGAATGTATTCCTCTGCGTCTGAGTTTTTAAATCGTCGGTCCGCTATCACATCGAACACATTGTATTTTTGATGATAGCAAACTTCTCTTGAAATATGAAGTTCGGAATTTACTGACAGTGAGTAGGGAAAGACTTCAACCATCTCCAACCTCAGAATCGTCATCGATCCTAATAACTGGGCATTTCACAAACTGCTGGCAATGTTTTGTGCTGAGCAGAGATGTCAAGTTCATCCTTAGGTCACATTTGTACAGATTATCAGTAAAAAGTTACTGTATCAAGAGTAATGTGCTGTAGAATTGAACATTTGATACTTCCTTACAAGTTGACCCAGTGACCTCAACAAAATCTCACAATGCGTTGAGTCTCACTGCTATCGGGATGAACCATAGTTGGAATGACCTGAGAGGTGTAGACGCCACTGATGAGGTCACCAATACGCGTCTTCCACAGGGTGTTGTTATTCTTGTTATTCTGTTTATTCCCTATCGCTCACCTTCTCATTTTCGACGTACAGTATTTGGCCAACGTCCATCGGCCGAAAAATAAGATGCTCCAAACAAACAGGGCCTAAATCTTCTTAAAATGCTTTGTTTTAGCCATATTTTCTAGATGTACTAGCAAGATGAAAATACCATAAAATTCTTTCTAATTTCAGTATCCTCTCTTCTCTATAGAAACTTCAAAATTGACAATCATGAGGATCTCATGTAATTGGGGTTGTTTTGCAAGGCGAATTCAGGAATGATGATTATTTTGCGAAGTAGTCTTCTCTTGCACAGTTGCACCTGTACTGCAGGGACGCCAAGTTCACAAAGTTGTCCGAAAGAAATGTCTTGTAGTACTGTTGATTTTTCGTCGCCTCATCTATGTTCAGTGCTTTCGCGTTTCGTTGATGGAACTTAGGTTTATTTTGCCTTAAAGCCGTATGACTTGTTTTGATTCAAAGTATTTAGTCTCGCTAAAGTTCATTCACCTAAAGCAGGTATGCAGGGATGGGCTACCTTGCAAAATACTTATCATTCCTGGATCCGCCTTGAAAAATAACTCCAACTACATAGGGATTTATCTTAGAAAGCGATTTTCAAGTTCTTAGAAAGAAGAGAGATAAGAAATAAACACGATATAATCGTTCTGATATACTTCTAAGAAAATACGGCAAAAAAAAGCTTTACAAGAAGGTTTAGACTCTGTTTGTTTGGAGCATCTTATTTTTCGGCCGATGGACGTTGGCCAAATACTGTACGTCTTCATTTTCTATCCCAATTTGTTCTGTACATCATTACTGGAATTACGCATTTTTTACGCATCTCTCGATAGGCACTGAAGCTATTATTGCAGTTATTCATTGCAATCTCTTTTTAACAATTTAGTGCATCCACTTAACTGCTAGTACTAGATTGGCTAATAAATAATTTTAATCGGTGCGACTCCTACATATGTTGCAGACAATTTTTTGTTCAGTATTCGGCATCTCTGGAAAGAGCTTCATGAGAAATGAAGCATAAAATCTGTTTGAGTATAATTTAATTCGGATTGAAGAAACACGCAGAGAAATGAGAAACGCCGGTTTTTTCATTGTGAAATACGAGAATCTGGTTTTCTCGGTCAAAGAATTTCGAAATGGCAGATCACAACTTTTACTAATAGTCGCTAAGTAGAAAAACTTGTCCGCATCCGAACACCAAATCGCTGTTCCCACATCCCTAAGACCCCGGACAGACTTCACGCGACTTAATCGTCGCGATCTAATCGCCAAGATTTCCATTCATTTTCACTTCACTTTCAAAAATTTCGGGTTGGAAATGTATCACAACCGAATGCAAGTTGATCGGCGTGGAATGATGTTGTAATAGTTGTCTCGTCGCGATTCAGTCGCGACGATCAAATCGCGTGAAGTCTGCCCGGGGCCTAAGAGCATAAAAACGAAGCTTTGAAAGTCGAAGTATTGGGCTTTTGGAATCTTAGCCATGTTGGGGCATAACTGTCCCTTACTGATAATTCAAAATTCTGAAAAGTTGATATGTGATAGAAGCTTTGAACTACTTGGCTACAAAAACCATCGATACAGGCATTTAGGAAAGTTTTTATATTTTCTCAAAACGATTGTTTTCTAGCCAACCTAATATTATTTTGTATGCATTAACAACTTTGATCTATCTCGTTATAAAGTTACTTTCTTTCTCCTACTGAGGATGGCAAGAAGCACAATGGCTCAAAAAGACGAAAAGGTAGGAATCGCCCAAAAACTTCGCATTTTTGAACTTATTTTGAATATGAAAGCAGAATCATGGTTCAAATGATTACTGAGCAAAAATGGATAATTACAAGTCTGTCAAGGACCGACTTCAAAAAATGAACAATGTCGCTTCCGTTAACATTTTCGCGCGTAATTATGATCAACTAAAAAGTAATTGCTATAACGATTTCAGAAAAATTGGTAAAGTTTAAAAAATCCCATGACATTCACGAATGCACTACCTTAATTCCCGTAATCAATTCCTGACACTGCAGCATGTGTAGAAGAACTTCGCGGATTTGATCACCGTTCATGGCCAACTTTACTTCCCAATCAAGTGGAAGTGTGCAGAAACTTCAGAAAGTCTGACCTCTAACCAGCAGTAGCGAAATTGCTCTTCACTCTCGAAATCTATCAGAAGCGCATGAATATCCCAGGAAAAGTGTTTTTTTTTCTTAATATAAGAACTTTTCGAATTCAAATATCAATCATTCTGTGACTAGGAGACGCAAGACCGCATTGCACACATTGTCTAAACAAGCTTAATCGTGTACTTAGCAGGTTTATACTTGTCATTTATCTCGTCCAAGTTTATCCACTCTTCGGAAACAGGGAGGAACAAACTCGAACATGTTGAAACAATGTCCGCAATGCGGCTACGCGTCTCCTGGTTATAGAATAGATTATAGTTGATTGTGCAAAACTCAAACATAGAGGCCTAGACTTTGCGTGCGCTAGCGCCATCATTGCGCTCCGTTTGTACGAAGTGTGCGAAAATAATGAATTCAAATTTTTCAAACCACCCCTAGTTTTGGCGGCAGTCATGACATTTCACATTTCTTTTCATTCTTAACGCTTCTATCACAGTCTTGATGTTGTAAGCTCGTTTTCATTTTTCGCAAAATTTTTGTCGATTGTACCTTTTCCAATATAATATTTTGTGCCATTTACAAGTTCTAGAATTTGAATCGCAGCTATTACATACAGCATTCAAGAGCTACGTCACAATGATAAAATCTGCACAGAAGAAGAGGAAATCGGATGTTTTCGTAAGTTGGACGGTTTCAACTCTCTTAAAATCCACCTTCACCGTACATGCGATTCAGCTCGAAGCGAACTCTACACAACCCCTGAAAAAGGAACGTCCATGGTACGACGCAGAGGTGAGTTTAGCAGCTATCGCATTCAAAGCAATGAATTCGCAAAGTTTCTCTTTTGCAGGTTCAGTCTGGTGTGAAAGAAGCTCCTGAAAAGAGTAGGCGGAAGAGCATTGTTGGACTAGGCAAAGGATTACTTAAGAAGATGAGGAGCTCTTCAGCACTGAAGGTAAGTTTCTTTGGCAATCCATTGTATCAAACTTTTTTTCCTTCTCTTTCTGTTTTCCCTACACGTATCATCGGCATATTTTGGACAACTTAGAATAAGAATTCCGAATTTAAAGCATTATGTTCTCCTTGAATTTGCAAAGTTCATGTTGATCACCTTCTAAGAATAGCTTAACTTTCGATGTAGTATTATCTTCAACTTTTTACCACTGACTGCTTTCTTATTTCCTTCAATAAAAGGGAAGTTTTTAAGCGAACTTGATTGACATATGAAGTTACTTGAAAACTTGTGATTGCTTTAGGCATTTGAGGCAGGTTTAAATAGTCCTGCTCACCGTTGTCTTTCTCTTTCTATTCTTTCACAGAAATTTTGCAGGATCGCAATAACAAAGACAGCTCAATATGTGCTATGTCGTCTAGCACTAGTACTTTGCCTGTGTTCAAACATCCTTGTCTTAACATCAGGCTGGATCCAATGCCAGAAGATCAGATTTCATATAAGAGTGATTCAGTGAGTAACATCATCACGTAAATTTTTAGGAATATCTCCAAAAATTGTCTTTTACAGAGTGCATTATCGTCGGACACCAGTTTACCTCCTTCTTTCCATCGTAATAAGGAACTCATTCGTTTGGTTGGAGAGATACCTAAGGACGCACAAGGTTGGGGAGAAAATGTTTCAGTAAGTTTTTCCCAATCTCGCTTGTATTTTGTTTGCTGCGATCAACAAACAAATTTAATTGCAATGAGAAAAGAATGTGGTTTACAAAGGACTTGCATTTGCTTAATTGTCCATCTTGGAATAGATTTCGGTATTTTCCAGTTCACATCAGAATCGGTCTCAGAGGATGGTGCTCCAAGTACGGGTAGTGTTGCTTCGCTTTGCACCCCAGCCAGAGATTTTAGACGTGAAAAGAAGCGCGGAAGTGCTCGCAGTATGCCTCCTGAATCCGAGCTTATTCGTGGACTGTGCAACAGGTGGGACATTTTATTTTTCTCATTCTTTTTTTCAATGTAGCAATCATTTTTATTTTCTTCTCGAATAGTTTCACTGTCTTACTTACCGAACTATTTTGATTGTAGTGCTATCCGTCGCACGCACTCGTCAGTCTCAGACACCGTTGCAAGCCCTCAGCACTTTGCTCGCGATAGATCTATGAGGTTGAGAGAGAAACTATTACTAAGTGCAAGCATGGCCGAACTTCCTGAGGAAGAGGTTTGTCTAGTGACATTCTTCCTCTTTGGATTAATTTTATTGTTTTGAGGTTGCTCCTGTTGCTACCTCCAACGAAATCAATGATGCTGCTACACCTGTGCATGCTTCAGAAACTTCTAGTCGTAGAAGCGTAAGTTTCAAGTGAGTGATTGACAGTTCGCTCCATCTGACTGTTTCAGAGTTTTGTATGGTCTACACTTCGTTCCAAGTCGAGAATATTTGGTTCGAAAAAACGTGATAGTATATCGACCCCTCTTTCTGTCAGCACGATGGGTAGGTTTTATTACGGTAAGCATGCCTACTCAGCTTCATTTGCATTTCTAGAACCAGCAGCCGATGAAGAAAAAGTTACGCCATCAGGTAGACCACTGCGAAGATGTTCGGCCAGTTCGTCAAGTGTACACAAACGAGTTTCGTCTGCTCTGAAGAAAGGATTTGGAAGTGAGTTTAGTTTTTAGACGAGTTTTCTTACTTCTTTATTTTCAATTAATCCTATGCATTTTTTGATTACAAACATATTTTGAACATGCTTGATTATTGAGCCATTTCAGATCGGTGCTTCATTAGCATGCTTGGAATTCCTTTTCCAGTCATTGGTCATTGCCATCAATTTTTGATACTAAAAAACTCTACAAAATCTGAATTTGCATGACTTGATTTCATTTGTGCATTAAAAAATTTCACGTATTTGTTGATTACTCAAACAAGTGTTCCTTAATTCTGTGAGAACTAAAATACTAGTTTCAGTACGTGGCTCAAACAGCAATTTGGCTTCTGATCTCCCTACAAGAACGCCAGCTGGGATTCTCAAGCGCTCATCAACTACATCGAAGGACCGCTGTCGAAAATCATCCAACTTTACGCGGCGTTGCAGCGATGGTTAGTTTATTGATGCTGAGTGAAAGTGCCCAAAATAACTGTATACTTTTAGTGTCCAGTGTTCTCGAGCGTCAGGTACGAATTGATCAAAAAAGAAAAGAAGCTGGTGAGTTGCTCTTAAGTGCAGCGCTCTTGCGCCATCTCAAAATCAATTCCGATTATAGAAGAAGCTGAACTGTATTTGGAAAAGGTGTTGATCTCTGAACGACCAGCTTTGGAAGTTCTATATGAAGATGATTACGACGCTGTAGTCGTTGATGTCGGTGCGACAGGCCTTCCTATTTCCGCCACTGCTAAAGCGATTCTCTTTGGTAAAAATGCAGCTGAGCTACACAAAATCTGCATGTCTAATCCTTACAAAAATGGTATTCTTCCAACTCCGAAAGGAATGCCAGGTTTGTTTGGTATGCAGTCTTTCGGCTGGTTAAGTAAACCTTCCGCTTTAGACATTATCTATATCGCAAGTGACACGAATGATGCGCCCGACAAGCGCGTGAGGATAGGAATGGCCACAGGAATGCGGGAAGCGTTTGAGAAAAATGGTCAACTCAAAAAAGTGGTACGTATTTGCATTTGCCTTCTTTATGCATATTGAATCCTCTTTCTTTAACTACAGCTAGCATATCCTTTCTGCGTGCCCGAAGATCCCGAACTCGCGGATTTCGTTATCTACCAGTTTTTGCTTACATCCTATAAAGCGCTTACTTGGACTCCAAAAGTAAAGAATGTAAGTTTTTCCCTTTCCGCGTCTTGAGTCAGTTGTACATGTTGCATCTTCAGTTTGATGGTACGATCACATTGGCTGGTGTTACTTTCGAAAACTGCATCCGAATGCGAAGACTTCACGAGAAACTGGTAGCCGCTGAAGTGAGGCCCAGGATACAGGCTTACGCATCTTTGCCATGTTCTACAAATGAGCTCAACGAAGGTGGCAAGTAGAATGATCGTGAGGTTCTTGACATTTTGTAAGGAAGTTTAATCTATCAGTCACTTCATCCGCTCCAGTTGACAAAGTTCTATTCTTTTCACGTAATACTTTGTCGCTACTTACAGCCTCCAAGACAATTATTTCACATAAGTTCTTTGTTTACTGTGCACATGTTGAAAACACTTCTGTACTAAACTTTGTTCTTCCATGTCTTTGTACTGAGTTGAGATGTTGAAGCTTTTAGCTGTACTTTCATTGTTATCTTATTCCTGCATGCTTAAAAGGCTCTTCGCATCTTGTAATTCAAGTAGCATAACATCTGATATCTTGCGCGCACTCTTGAAAAATCTTAACTTCAAGTTTTGTCGACTTTCTGTGTTAACGTTATGATATACCACTGCTTTAGTTTACAAGATTGTGCCTATCTATTGCATAATATCTCTCTTACTTAACAAAAATTTGTCCTTTGCTATTTAGTATAAATTTTTATTCTAACAGTCTGCGTTTGAGATTCATCGAATATTCACAATGATAGGATACTTAAGTTTGACTCTAGTTTGATAGCCAGTTGCTAACAATGTAGAGGGTGTTGGAAGCAGAAGCGGCTAGTGGAACACGGAGGCGCTATTAAGTACCCAGAAATTATCTATTCTGGCAGCAAAAGACAAGACATCAAGGAGTTGATTTTAAAGAAACAGTCGAAATCATAGCGCGCAAGGCTAAACATCCACTCGCACTTTAAAAGCCTTTTGGATTCAATTTAGAAACTCTAAGATGAACCTCAAAAAGAATGTCTCAATATCAGTGCGAAGACTCGTGCCATATCTGGATCAAATCTTCTTCTGTGAAGAGATGTTTGTTTTTTTTTCCTTTCTCAAGCGCTCAGTAAACGATCTCGCAGAATTCTACCCGCAAACGAAAAGGAGGGTACTGCATGTAGCAAACTGCTTGTGGCTGAAAGCGCAGAATTTTGCTTATAGGATAAGGAGATGTTTAGTTGGGTAGATTCTATGCTTTCGCCCTTATTGCCGAAACGTTAGCCTGAATACATAATCGCCAATCTCGGTCGCGCTAGAACTGAATCGATGCAGTATTCATCCTTTTATAAAGTTTGATAAAGATACTGTGTGAGAATGATCAGAATGCAAATTGTGCAACCCCAAAATTTGTAACTTGAAACATACCATATCACCGCACTTCCTTTCCTCCTAGATAGTGCGCTGATGATATAGTTCTTGAAGCTTGAATCACCTCAATCATACTTCCTGAATCTTCCTCAGACAGTAAATTAGCAAGAAAAACTGTCTCATGCTAGTGCCTTCCGTTCAACGAAAACAGCTTTTGACCTTAGGAGGTGAACTTTGGTCCTGAATAAGCGTCAGTGAGCATTCAGCTAACCAACAGGTAGATTTTAACCTTGAAGTAGATTTTTGAAAATCAAAATTACCTTGAGGTTTAAATCTACCTTGAAGCATGCTGTCAAGGTTGATTTTAAGCTCAAGGTTCGTTAATGAATGGCGACTGCAGCTAAAGTTTGAGAGTTCATTCGTACTCAATTGCATGATCGACCTTCTAGAGACCATGTAGTGGAGATTTGTAATGCTGCTTTTTGAGGCAAGATCTCCTCATACTTGGGAATACACTGGAAAAGGTTCGAAACACTGCGTCCTCAAATCCAATTTCAAGCACCAGCATCATTTTTCCGAAATCCATCGCTATAGAGAGCTTGATGAAGATATAAAACAGTATTTTGAGGGAGACATACGGTTCCTGGGCAAAAATTCTGCGAGTTCTCGATTCGCAGAAAAGTGAGTCATATAGTGGTCTTGAACCCTCGTGACGTCAATTCAGGTCTAACAATCTATGTCTTACTAAGAGATTTCACTTCAGCGAGGACTGAGAAACTAGCCTTACTATGAACGAGCGAGAAAAATGGGTATCGATGCTAATGATACACACGGATTTCCGCTGGTTTAGACAAAAACGATAAAGGATTTGAGGTCTTCAATACTCTCTGCGGGTATGGCCGAACACATTCTAGCTCCGATCCGAAGGGGCTATTAAATGCGTGCGAAGCTTCACAATTTGCTGTAGACAGCGGATTACACGTCAGTTCTCAGACTACTCATTTACCATTAGCGTCCTGGGAGTGTAGAGGGCTCAGTTGGCCCAGCGCAGGATCGACCATGGTGCGATCTGATTACAGCTGCGCCTCAAACCATTCGTGCCCTGCTGCCTTATATTTGCTAAATGCAGGAAGCAGTGAGAAGACGGTATATAAGAGATTGCATATCATTACTTTGAAGTGCAGTACGGATTTGAAGTCTTCTAAACAGAGCTCAGCACAGGTGGTCTAAAGGGAGGCTAGTTATCGTTTTGGGAGTAACATGCAAAGAAGACGAGTGCCACCGGCATGCTCTAACACAACGGTATCCAAGAAAGCAGCCTTGTTTACAATCAAAATGAAATAATATGACATCAAACTTGGTGTGTGGGTGCCAGTAGGGAGTTGGAACCATGTATAAAAAATAATGGAAATTATGTGAGCTGAACACGTGGCAAACTTTTTTCGGAATTAGCTGGCTTTAAAGCCAGCTCGACGGCCACCTGAGGTGGTTGTGGAAAGAAAAAGTCTTAGATTTTCCTAGCTCGCACGCACTGACAATTTGCTCAGCTCATATTCACATTTTCCACATAAAATCTTATATTAGGTGGGTGCAAAAGTTTTGTCAGTTTCTTCAATCCACCTCCAAACACGATAGAATGAAGATAAACAAACACTTCAAAAAGTATCCGATGCAGAATTTCTTCCTCTTTCCAGCTGCTCAACTTACATTGTGTTGCGTTGAGAGAGTGATGAGATATTTGCTGGAAATTACAACCACTCGTTTTTACCATGTCCACTTTTCGCTAATTTTCAAAATTTTTTTATGAGACTTTCGGAGGAGTCCTAATAATCAGCAGATAGGGCAAACCTTTTGCCAACCGATGCAATTTTTCATGGCCCTAATGCTTGTCTTTCAGAATTTCTACGATTTATTTTTTGAGGTGACCAAATTTTACATTCAGCCTACTTTAACTTCGTAGAACATAAAATGTTAAACACTTCAGTCACCATTCGATGCAAATTCTTCTCCTCTTTCTGACACTTGTCTTTTCTTGGCGAGACAGGCGAAATTTGTAGGGAAAATCGCAGTATTTCTCAATTTAGTAGTGCGCACTGACGCAACCTGTGTTTCAAAATCTTCGTGTTTGAGGCGAAAATCGCTCATTTACTTTGTAATGGTAGCGGTAATAATAATCGAGTGTTGAAACCTCAGTATTCTGTAGTTTTTGCAGTGTTTGGTGCAACAACAGGTTACGCGATTTTTCCAAAACATAAGACTTTTGAAAAATTATTTGGCAAAATTCTGAAAAAGCAGCTGAAAAAAAAAGCAGAAAGTTGCTTAAGTTGGCAACAGGTTTGCCCTATCTGATGGTTGTTAGGGCTCCTCCAAAATTCTCATACAGAAAATTTAAAAATTAGCGAAAGTTGGACATGGTAAAAACGAGCGGTTGTAATTTCTAGCAAATATCTCATCACTCTCTCAACGAAACACAATGTAAGTTTAGCAGCTGGAAAGAGGAAGCAATTCTGCACCGGATACTTTTTGAAATGTTTGTTTATCTTCATTCTTTCGTGTTTGGCGGTGGATTGAAAAAACTGACAAAACTTTTGCACCCACCTAATATACAGTGCTGGACATAATTATAGGGACACTCTAGAAATCGTCGTAATTTTCGTTCTTGTCAGTGAATCTGTCGGAAACTTTGCTGTATGGTGCGCATGTAAGCCTACCATAAATCCTCAGAACGGCTTTCAATTCCGTTGATTTCGAACGGAGAAAAATGCAAAAATTCAAAAAAGCCTGTTTTGCAAGCTGGACATAATTATAAGGACACCTGGCCTTTTTAAACATTATGGCATTCCTTGACTCCCAAATTTTTTTGTAGAGTTACATCCCAGAGTATGAAACTTTTGCAGCACCTAGGACCTGTCATGCTACTCAAGGAAACATGATCCTTGCATTTTTCGTTTCCAAAGGCATCAGAAGTCAAACTGCGTCAATAAACAAAACAGCTGGTTTGAGGAGTTTTTAAGCCCGTGTTCATTTTAAATGACAGTCCTGGAATACACTTAGCCTTTTTGATAGATAAGGTGAAGAGCGCTTTTGTAAACTCCGCGTAATCGCTGATATTGACAATCAGACTCCAACCTCACGATAGGGTTGTCGCGCTTTTGCACCACAAAACTCACTTTCCAATGTTCGTGAAGTGATGGACTCGATTTATTACATTGTCTACATGGAGATGCATCTTTTGCAACAACTTTTAGATTTTTTCTAGTGCTGCAGTTGCCATTTAGATCTGATATACTTTCAACGAAAATTCTATGCGAGCAGTAGATTCAACATAATCACAAATCTCACTACTTTATTCTCTGTTTCATGTCGCATTTTGCGCGTTAGCTGAGATTAGCAAGATTTTGAAGTTTCAAGCGGTCTCCTGTTCGATTTCTTTATTTGAGTTGGATATGATTGTGCAGGGTGCTCGACTCAACTCTCAACGGATGACAACTGCGGCTGAACCAGAATGTGCAACCCCGAATTTTTTTCCTGACTAGGCACACAAGTTTATTGTTGTACGTGTATTGTTGCGGCTACATTGCAGCGTTTTCTGTAACTTGAAAATCGAGTTTTGTGGTTTAAAAGCGTGACGACCCTATGTTGAGGTTGGAGTCTGTCCGTCAAAATCAGCGATTACGCGGAATTTACGAAAGCGCTCTTCACCTTATCTATCAAAAAGGCTAAGTGTGTTCCAGGACTGCCATTTGAAATGAACGCGGGCATGAAGACTCCTCAAACCAGCTGTTTGTTGACGCAGTTTGACTTCTGATGCCTTTGGAAACGAAAAATGCAAGGATCACCTTTCCTTGAGTAGCATGACAGGTCCTAGGTGCTGCAAAAGTTTCAAATTCTGGAATGTAACTCAACAAAAAATTTGGGAGTCAAGAAATGCGATAATGTTTAAAAAGGCCAGGTGTCCTTATAATTATGTCCAGCTTGCAAAACAGGCTTTTTTGACTTTTTGCATTTTTCTCCGTTCGAAATCAACGGAATTGAAAGCCGTTCTGAGGATTTATGGTAGGCTTACATGCGCACCATACAGCAAAGTTTCCGACAGATTCACTGACAAGAACGAAAATTACGACGATTTCTAGAGTGTCCCTATAATTATGTCCAGCACTGTATAAAGCTGAATGTTTGTTTGTCTGTATGTACGTATGTTCCGAATAGAGAATTCCATTTCTGAGCCGATCCGGACCAAACTTGCCACACTTACACTTCGGGGCGGGGTGGGTGTCATAGGCTACCTTTCGTCATCCATCGATATCGATTTATCGATTTTTATCGATTTTTTTGCAGAGTTCACCTACGGGGCTGAGAGTTGGCAGAAGGGGGGGGGGGGTAAGCAAGCATGGCGATTCCGAATGCAACATTAGTTTTCAGAATTATTGATTACTTTTATCGATTTTATCGATTTTTTGCAAAGTTCGAGCTACAAGGCTGGGAGTTAGCACAGGGGGGTAATCGAGCATGCTGATAACTAACACAACGGGAATAGGGAGTTGGAGTTGGGATGTAGAAGTGGGCACAGGGAATGGTTGTGCAGGGATAGGGATGGGAGTTTTATCATAGCTTTATCATAGCTTTCAATAGCGTTTTGACAGGCCGGGCGGAGCCGGGTAAGCCAGCTAATTAATCTATAAATCAACACTGCAACAATAAAATGATTTCAATTCTGCCACTCTCCTTTAATAATACCGAGAGTAGCAACATTATTGATCCCACCCCAACTAAGAAAACAAAACGGTGCTGCCCCTCAAAAGGAAAACGTTGAAGCCCTGCTGTAGTAAGATAATTTTATTCTCAAAGATTCGCTTAACGCAAGGGTAAAGAATTTTAAAAGCATCCAAAGCCTGTTCAAGTTCATCTTTTTTTGTTTCGGTAATATCATAGATTCTGTAGATCGGAATAACCAAACTTTTTCAATAGACCTCTCAAAAAATTCCTCTTGTGATATTGCTTTCACATTTGAGGAAACAATGCTTGAGATATTATTAGTATACTTTTAATTATTTAGCAAACAAGATGGTCTCCCCAATTTCGAGATATGAAGATGGATATGTTATCTCGTAGACCTACATACTTCACTATGCGTCGCAGCCTGAACTGACCCAGTTCGTTGCTAAAGCCCGTCGGGTCATTTGTGTTAGTTTCGATTCTGAGCGGTGATATGCCCCGTAACGAGCACATCATGTTACGCAGTCGTTTTCTATGTGCTTTTCTTTTACAGGCGCAGGTGCCTCTTTTGCGTGAGAGTGTTTACTGTGTTTTCTATGTTGGTGTCTGTTCTGTTGGATCATTCTCAATCAACTTCCCTTGATGGGACATAAACTACTCGTCTCGATGGTAACTTCTGTCAGCGATAATTTGATGATAGGCCCTTTTCTGGTCGAATACCTCAGATGAAGCATGCATCTTCTTCGTAAATTGATTTCTTAAATTTTGAAGATGTACATAAATATGTGCACTCGGACTTTCTACATGAATTTGAATTGGAGGCTTCAACTAAACCATTGCGCAAGTAGCTCATATGATTAGTTAATGACTGAGAAATTTTACTCATAATTATTGCCCAAACCGTACTTTTTTCGAACGTATCACTCTGCATCCACTCGGAGGAAGGCTTATTGGTATCCCTGCCGAAATGTTGAAGATGGGATTTCTTGGCCAGAAAATAACTTACTTGGTTAATATCTACTTGAATCTCTACGTTCAGTTTTCAGAAAGTTCAGGCTTTCGCCCTGGCTTAGACACCGCCTTTATTACTAGGGTTGCAATTTGATCTGAGAAGAAAATCAAATAGTTCTCAAGCTTGATTTAGATGTTACTATTGGTTGAAAAATCTTCCTTAATTTTCATTAATAGACACGAACATGAATCCCTCCCTAGCCCTACCAGCAAAAGAACCAAAAACCTCAATTTGAAACAAAACTTTTGTATACTCCCCATGATATAATGTTGTAACTTCTCCTTCATGTAAACATGCGCAAGTGATTCGAGTCCTCCTGGATTATATACAGTGTTTGAAAACATTTATAGTTAGAATAATTTCATACTTTTATTATCGAAAAGTGATAAATATAAATACTCAAGTTCTGCAGACTAAAAGTTGTACTAGTGTGGAAGGTCGCGATAAAGTCCGCCATCACAATAATGTTTATATGACTTGTGCTGTTTTCGAACTCTGTGCTAATTGAATGTTATTAATAAAAGTTATGATTATTAGAAAATATCAAAATACAGAGAAACTGACTAGTTATGTTCTCTGACGTCAAAACTTATCATTGCGGTTATGTTTTCTGACAACAAAACTCTTCATGAGTTCTATCAGAACAGGCTTTTGCTGATAATATCGCTTTGACTATTGAGTTGATGGTGCAAAGTTTTATGCCATCTTCCACATTCTTGCGACCGAAATATGGAAGCTGGAAAAGAGAGGTAACAAAGTGTGTAATGTTTATATTTGTCTTCATAGCCTTAGAGTGAATATCTAAAATCTATCGCACTACGGTTTTGCGGATTTCCGGTTTTTGATTCCTGTTGTAAGTGCAGCCTTCTGTAGATTTTATGTCCAATTGCTTTGCGAACACCATGCTGGTATTTGAGAGTCCATGCTGGTTATGATCCATATCTCTAGTACTTGACAATTCGAGCACAGCGAATTTATGCTCTTCCAGACATTCTCACTAATTTTAAAATATTTTCAAAACCAGCTGCGGTAATATCGACACATAACTGCAATTCCAAAATAACTGGTATGCAAAGGAAGCTGGTATCTAGTAATAATATTTTCCAAAGAAAAATTACACTTCCTCTAGAACAATCCTTCATAGACGGTACTCCACAATGTCACTAAAAATATTTGCAGAAGTTTACGGACACTCAGAATAAAAGGAAGGCAAGGAAGAAGTGAATTGTTTATTTACCCGCCACCAAGTAAAATCGGAGGAGTGACGCATTGAAAACATGACCTTTTTGAAAACTGTAAAATGCGCTTCGGGAATTTAGGTGTAAATGAAAAGATTAATCGAACGCTGAGAGTGTGCTGACCATTACCGCCTCGGTGCGATCAAGGTCACCAGTCATAATGTTTGAGGAGAATACATGCTGAGCGATGATCCGCTTTTGTAACCTCAAACGTTTACCTCCTTTGATGTAACCTTCACGTAAACTTGTTTTCCCCTATTCTTATTCTCCACCCTCTTCGCTGCACGATGATGGGCGCATTCTGTTTTGTAGAAGGTGAGGTGTTTGTTCTCCCAATCTTGCACTTTACAGGACCATTTTGGTGGGTGAGAGATGTTTGTGATCCTTCTATGCGTTGTCGCAGCAGTTTTGGCGGCTCCTCTTCCTCGTGAGTTTTCTTAAAAAGACAATTTGCCTGGTGGTAATGATTTTCTCATTTCAGCTGCTGTAGAGGGAGACACATGGGCACAAGTCTGCTGTCAGGTAAGTATTCTACACTACTGAAGGTCGCGAAAAATTTTTGAAGGGGAAGGGTTAAAAAAAGCGCGAGACCTGATCAAGTTTTCCTCCAAAAATCAAATTCTAGCGAGCTTATAGGTGCTTTCGAAATCGTAATAAAGCAAATTCAAGAGTCTTGAGTCGTTCACAAAAAGGATAGTTATTTTATGAATCGAAGATCAAAAATTCGCGCGACCCGCGACGAAAATTGCAAATTTAAACTTTTATATACTTAATTATCAAATATAGAGAAGAAGAATTGCTGTTTTTAGGACAATGACCTTAACCAGAGCGGTGGTATCAGCTTCCGTGAATTTACCAACTTCACTTTGCAACTCATGAATCTGAATAGAGCAGGTTAATTGCTATTCAAAGATAATTCTTTTGACTAAATGCTGAAGTTTAGAAATGGAGCAGCTCTTCCTGTCTGGTGACGTTGATCGCAACAGTGAGCTAGATGGAGATGAATGCATTCCAATGAGAGCTGCTCTTCAAAAGGCTCTCAAGGAGAAGGGTGAAACCCTGTTCAAAGTGAGAAAGAGTATAACAAAGCCTTAAGCCTTAAGTCTTTTATTATAATCACAATCCTTCTAGAAATATGATACGGACAGAAATGGTAAGCTATCCGAGAATGAGGCCAGCCAGTTAGCGCAAAATGAGTTTGGACTTCATTCAGATGATATCACAAAAGAGTTTGCATTGTCCGATCAGGTAACAAAGGCTATATTGCTAAATAATGTTTTCATTACCGTCAAAAAACTACCTTCAGAATGCGGACCACTCGATCTCTCCTGAAGCTGAAATGTCCGAACTCATGTTGAATCTTAGAACGAAGCAGGTCGCCAACGAAGGAGCTAATCTATCAGTAGGAAAATAATTCTTTTCTGGTGGTTATGGTTTACTAATAAATAACAAAGTTTTGATACTAACACTCAGAAATCTTTGGTGTTAGTTTGAAGAGAAAACACAGATGGCAAAATCATTTGAAGAACAAACTTTGCAGTACAGAAAAAAAACAGAATCAGAAGGAAATGACACGATAGCATCTGATATTTGACCGCGAGTTATTGTTTCAAAAGCTATTGGGAAGCTGTATCGCAGTTTTTATGTGATAAAGAAAGATTCGGGAAGAACTATGAAAATTATTCAACATCAAATGAAGAGGAGACTGTATATCATCTTTAGTTACTACATGTATAGAGATTACATGACTTTGTTTAGTAAAAAAATACCTTGAAACTGTAAATGACGATGAGTCAAATACCGTTCATCAACAGCGACAGGTACACAAAGAGAGGTTACCATCACTGAGAGGTAAACAACAGAGGTACACTGATCTACCGGAACGTGGATAGTATGTTTAAGACCAAGAAAGTAGGATAGGAGAGGGTGCTATGAATGTGGGTACGTGTAGCCGTTGAAAATCCACAAAATAAACAACGCAAGATCAACGGGACTGAAATATGTAAATGAAAAGAGCAAAAGAAGGTCTCTTCCCTTAGGCAGACTTTATTAGTATCTCGACCCTCTCGCAGGACTCCTCAGTAGGGGAGACAGCCTAGAATGTTTTTGTGAAAGTTTTTTTTTAGAAAATTGCAACGCTCTCTCATTTTTGAGCATTACTTCTTTCTTCTAAGGCGATCCATAAGACGAAATTGAGTTCAAGTGTAAAGTTTGAAGAAGCACGAATATAGTAATGGGTGTTTATGTAATTATAGAATATGCACAGAGGGTATCAAGTGCGCATACCATTACAATTCGCTATGTATTCTGTACACACACTTATTTCCTTAATTTATCGTGTAGAAGGACTACCTCGGACTCAAGACCTTATGAACCGTGGTTAACTAATCGAGTCCTGTGAATACCGTGTATAGTTTTAAAAATGGTAATCTCATTGGTGAAGACTTTTTTTTGATTAAAAAGCAGAATGTGAAACAAACACTACCAAATCTCATTATATCAAATCAAGCTGGGGAACTCAAGAGGAGAAAAACAAGGAATAAGAAATAAGAGAAAACAGCTTACAAGGAAATGGTCAGAAGTCGAAGTGGCCAATCCAAACAAGCTATATACCATTCGATGCAGCATGGAACGGTGATTTCAAATCTGCCTTCCTTATCTGCAGAGCGCCTTTGTAGGCGAAGTTATGAGCAGCTTTACTGCGAAAAAACCGTATACAAAAATTGCGAAATTAGGCACATTATTGCTGTTTCAGCTCACATCTAGGTACGGGTCATATAAACTGACCTAGTTGCATGTTTTGGTCCAACAGTGAGCCGAGAATGGCTTTGTACGGCCAAGTTTGCATTTTACGTGCACAATTTGTTAGCAAAATGATGGCCTTCAACGGCTTATAATTTCGTCCACAAAAGCGCTCTGCAGATAAGGAAGACAGATTTAGAGTCAGCATTTTATACTGCATTCAATGGTATGCAGCTTGTATGGATTGGCCACTTCGACTTCTGACCATTTCCTTGTTAGATGCAAAGTTGGAGACAACACTACCAACTCTGAAATATCTCCAAGGTATGCTTGGGCATTGCACTACATTGGCCGATTAACCTTTGGCACATAACTAGGTACTTAAGAATGTTTTCAAACCGAAGAACACAGCATTGTTTCTGTCAGAGGATGATGTTAGTAAAGCGTATGCAGCACTACTTTGCCATAATTTGAATAGAGAGCAGCTTATACTTCCAATTTCCACAACAACATAACTGGCCTTGCAATTCTTCCTTAGTTTAGACGTGATGGAACTAAGAGTGAGATGCTAATATGAAGGCACATATTGTGAAAGTGCGGACTAAAGTCGCATTAGTGCTAACCTAAGGTTTTTGAGAACCTGACTTTATAACCAAATAACAAGACCATCTGGTTTGCCCAAAACAAGAATTTTTACATCGAACTAACACCTATGTATTAGGTTGAACCGAAAGTTCTGTCGCACCATTTTCAAAAAATCGTAACTTCTTTCCCTTACGATATTTTTGCACAAGAAAAATAAATTTACAAAGAACAAAGCGTATGCTTTTCAAAGGCTCCCCAAAGGCTTGCCCTTTACTATGCTTTGGTTGCAAGATAAAATTGGAAAAAGGAAATCACTTCAAATTCGGAATTTTGAGGCAAGCCCGTTAAAAAATTCCAAAACTGTGCCATAAAATCCAAAATAGGCAGTGTCTTAGGTTTTTTGATCCACTTTTTCTAGCAGAGCAAAATTCGAGCTGATCGAGCTTATGATTTTAGTTAAAGTTATGATTTTCGAGAAAAAAGCCCAAAAAATCAGTTTTTTAAGAAAATTGATTTTTTGACATTTTTTCCCAAAAATCATAACTTTTCAAAGGACAGCTCGATCAGCGCGAATTTTGCTCTCCTAGAAAGAGGGGTTCAAAAAATTTAGGATACTGGCTACTTTGGATGTGGCACAGTTTTGATTTTTTGTGCTTGCCTCAAAATTCCAAACTTGAAGTGATTTCCTTCTCCGAATTTTATCTCTGCATTCAAAGCTTAGTGGATAGCAGCCAAGATGTATCTAGAGAGTGCATGAATTGCTCTTTACAACGAATAATTTTGTCATGCAAAAACATCGTGTTAAGAAGAGGTCACGATTTTTTGATAATGGTGCGACAGAACTTTCGGTTCAACCTAATTTATTTGGTCGAAGTGATAGTACTGTAAAAATCACCTCATAACCACTGTTCGACTCAACTAAGCGAATTCCGGAGAGCAAAGGCAAAATTGTACGAAAAATTTATTTGCAGCGTTTTGATACGAGTGGTGACGGAAAAGTCAGTTACGAAGAGATCAAGTCGGAAATGCTTCGTCGTATAGATGGATTCACCTTGAAGCAGATGTTCAAAGCTATTGACTTTGACAAGGTATGCACCATTCATTTTTACTTGTTTTAAGCATTCTTAGTAATGTATACCAAACCGTAAGTCATCCATTTCTTATGAAAAAATTACAAAAAAGGCTAAAGAGTTTTGATTGCGCAAAGCTTTTAGTAGTCGGCTTGGAATGAAGTCTTTTGAAACAGGCATGTAGACATGGGTATTTCAAGACAGAGCATTTGTTTAGGACTATCACCTAACTCCACTGGAATACTTGGCACTTCTGAACGAGCTGAAGATCTTCAAAGAGGTATTGCCGTTTAACACAGGATTTCCAAAACTTGCGATTGCAATCATTTAAAATAGATAGTTTAGCAAGCGCTCTTTCAGGAAGAAAGCAAGTCTCCAAAAATCATAGCGGCAAGGGGTGCAAGTGTTCCCGTAGATGATAAAAAACGTCACGAAGGCCTAACAGGGCCGACAACCACTTCAGTCAGAGGCGAACGAAGCGATACTGGCTCTGGGCAGAGTTCAACAATCACAAAGTCCTCTCCCACTACTGCTGTGGCCTCTGCAAGTGTACAAATACGAGACAAGAGAGATAACACTCACGGTTAGTTGAATTTTTCAAAGGTGTTTTATGAAGGGGAGTTTATAGATGTCTGAAAAGTCGGAAAATGTTGAATCATGATCTTGTGTAAAAATTTGGTACTTATTTGCAGTGCAAGAGTTTCATGCATCTATTTCGTTACTCAAACAGCTTGATATCAATTCACTTATTTTTGTCATATACTTGATCAAGCAAAACAAACTATGGCTAGAAAACATTTCGAAACAATAATCAGTGCTGCATGTTTTTATCACGATGGACCGTAAATAATTTTTTTGTTGCAGTAAAACAATACGTATTTGTCATTTTGAGTGTTTTCAGGTATGATCAAGGTTGCGCCCTCACCAGCAAGGCATGAATTCCAGTTTGATGAGGATCCAGACACAGCCTTTGGTACTGAGGAGAGAATTGCCAAATATAGGTGTGAAAACATATGTTTATTTCGAATTTATGGAGCACATATATTAGGTTGTCCCGAAAGTTTTGTCGGTTTCTTTCATCGCTCACTAAAACTCACAGGACACCAATTCATAAACGGCTTATGCATCATTTGATTCAGTTTTTTATCCTCCTTCTTACAGTTATACTTGCTCTCTAACCTGCCCTGTCTTAGCGATGTTATCGCCATGGCTTTTTAAGCAGCTCAGCAATAACGCCAAATATATCCTGAATTTTTAAAATTTTTGTTCTGATGTTTTCAAAGAGCGATGGTAGCTATTATATAGAGCAAACCTTTGGCTACATTGTACCTAATTTAGATTACATGAGCCGCAGTTTACCAAGTCGTTATAATTATTTATTCAATAAAAACCGCGGCTTTTTGATTAAGTTCAACACGTAAGAGTACCAAAAATTCCAAAAAGCTGTTTTTTCGAAGCGAATCAAAGCTAGTTATGTTGCATAAATGATGTTTAGTAAGAAATATGTTTCGATACGCAGAAAATTCAGAAGCTTTCATGTGTTTTATGCAGTTGCGTGTTTCATGACTTTGCCAAAAGTCGAGACCTCCGGAGAAATAATTTTTTGAAGCTAAAATCAGCAGATTAGGAGAATCTAAAAATACCACCTTGTAGTCCGAGAATTGCTTTATTTGATACATTTTCAACACTCTTCGAAACTTCAAAATGAAATTTTTGAAAATTAGCCTAACTTTGAGCAGGTAAAATTGACGGGTGGAGAGTTTTGACAATTATCGAAAAAAGCGTACAAGATTGTGGGACGAAAATGTATCCTTAAGAAAGAGAAGGAAAAGCTGCATCGAATGCAGGTTGAAATTCACTCAGCTCTCTAATGTGCATGGTTTTACAGTGATTTGAAAAAACCGACAAAACTTTTGGGACAACCTAATATTATCCCAACGCCTGTGCTTCAAGAATTTTGGTCGAAAAAGTCAATAAAAAATAAAAATAAAAACCTCTCTGTAGTCAATTCGTTTGCGTCAACCTTTCTCCGAAACTTTTGGAATTTCTTTCTATCAACGAGAATGTTTTTGCAGAGCACAGTCACAAAACATGAGGAATAGGAGAGAAGCAGAAACAGCTCCTCCAGTTCTTACCCCTCTGCAGGCATGTTACTTTTGCGATAAAGTTGGTAAAGTGGTATTAATTCATTATTTTAGGAAATAGAGAAAGAAAAGATAAACGAGCTCGCAAAGATTCAAAACAACTATCGCGGAGGTGGCAAAGCTCCATCTATCGACTTGTCGGTAACAGTTCCCTATGACGAAGATTACCAATAACTCTTTCGCACAACTATGTAGCTTCATCGACTTTCACAACTTGTCCCTCTATACCTCATGCATTTCATAATCCGAATTTTTTATGTCAGGTTTGATATAGTTACACTACCTCACGCCATCTTCTTGCCATACTATGATGTTTTCCATGCAATCCCATCATGCAATAACTTAACTATGTACAGGTACTCTTTTTTAGCACCTTGTATAAAGTATTCGCGTTTATGAAACACTCTGGTTTTTCCAATACGTATTTTGAGAAATATGTAAACTTGCGTTCTGCGGCTCAAAGTCAACTATTCGAGCTTGAGACAAATCGCATACTGATTTCCCTTATCAGAACATTGCTCTCTCGGATATGATAATATGTTGATCTTCTCACCGAATTCTGCCGAAAATTCTTTGATAATGAATTGAAAAAAAAAACTGCAAAAAAAAGAATAGAGTACAGCAAATGCTGAGGAGCTGTCGAATCCACGTTTTTTTGAGATATCTTACCAAGATTCTTATTCTTAGAAAATTCTGAAATTTTGAAGAATTAAAACCATCAAAAAGAGATAGAGTCTCCCATAGGTAGATTTAGGTAGATTTTCGATACCTAAAACGGTCCCGGAAACACTCTACTGGATCTTGCAGACGCGAAATTTGGTTAAGGTCGGAGCTCCGAATCTCAAGCCGATATCGTCTAAAATTTGTTAGCTCCACAAGCATCCTTTCAGCCTCTGTGTGCTGTCTGTAGCGCCCTCGTAGTTGCTGAGGCGGCATCTCGGGTTTCGGCTGCTTAAGACAGAGCTGGATTGCAGTATTAAAAGTAAGGTGTAGGCCTGGGCCAGCTAATTTTCAAGCCTTGATCTAAATCTAATATTAGGACATTCCGAAAGTAATTTCGCTTTTTTCAAACGGACGCCACATGTGATGGAACAAAGATTTCTAAGAGATCTTGGTAGCATTCGATGCAGAATTTCATTCTCTTTTCAGTGGTGAAATCTTTGCAGCTCATCATTGAGCAATCATTGAGCTTTCGGGAATTAACCAAAACCTTTGACCCATGCTTTTTGAGATGCTCAAGTTTCACAATTTTTCTAAATGTGTACATCAATCCTCCAAAGGAGTCCAAGTAACGATTCGATAGAGCAAACTCTACAGGGTACAAAACGATTTTTACTCCTTCACATAACTCCTCAAAATTTGAAGTTAATAGAATTTTGATTGATGCTACCAATTTCCATTCTTGGTCGACTCAAACATCGTAGAACATCAAACTCTTAGCAGCTCGAGTGTCATTCGATGCAGCTTGATCTCCTCTTTCTAATGGATGTTTTTTGTTTCCCTTTCGTGAAGTTTTCGCGTACAAAATCACCATAATTTATATTTTCGAATGCGTTCTGGGCTGTACCCGGAAAATTCGAAATTAGATATCGATTCCGTAAACCCCCATTCGCTTTGCAAAATTGGTGTTAAACATAATACCATCTTGGAAGTCTCAAATTCCGAAGATTTATTGGTGTTTGATGCGAATTTGGCTGAAGTAGGTCTGTCAAAATTCGATGGTTTCAATAATAAATCTTTTAAAAAACTATGGCGAGATATAAAAACGAGAAAAAAAATCAAGCCATATCCTATGAGGTTTGCTCCGAATCGTTACTTGAGCTTCTTCGGTGGAATGATGTAAAATTTAAAAAAATTGGAAACTTGAGCATCTCAAAAAGCATGGATCGCAGACTTCCGTAATTTTTCAAAAGCTCATTGATTGTGCTGCAATTATTTAATCATCAGAAAGAGGAAGAAATTCTGCGTCGAATGCTACCAAGATCTCTTAGAAATCTTTGTCCCATCACATGTGGCGTCCGTTCGAAAAAAGCGAAATTACTTTCGGAATGACCTAATATAAGTATAATGAAGCCAAGGTTACACATTACAGTAACGGCGCTTTTTCACATCTTTGAAGTGAAATTATCTGAAAATTAGCAAAAATTTGGCCTTACTGCTAAACGACTTAAAAAGGCTTGACGTTGACATCACAGGGACTGCATAGACAGCGAGAAAGTATGGCTAACAGAAGGGGAATAAAAATCTGAATCGAACGAAGCCTGAGTTCGTTTGTTGATCAGTATTCTGTGAGCTGCAGTAACCGATCAAACGCGACAAATTTGACCCTAACTCCGAGAGAAGAAATGTTAACCTTTTGCCACGTATAAAAAAAATTTGACGTTCACATGTTTAACAGTTTTAGCAAAATTCTATTTGCCTACTTATTAACATGAGGTCATTCTAGTTTTCAAGCCATCTAATTCCAATCTTACAATCAGATAACATCAACATTGTAATAATGGCATCATGTTATAGGTAAACGTTTTATATTTGCTATTTTTTTGTATTTCATATGTAGAATGGAAAAGAGCACTGAAGCTCTATCATCGTAGTGGCGAAGTAGGAAAAGGGAGATGCTTTACGCTCAGCTATTCTTTCCCGGCTGATTAGGAGGAAACAATTTCCTGAGCACGATATCTCTTAATCATCTTTCAAAGGGATCAATTGTTCCAATAAACATTATGGGCCCTTTGCTTTTTCGAGAAAACAGCGGGTGATTTCGAATGTTTTTTTACCCCTTAGGACCTTGTCGGAAACGCTTTTGAAAAAACATGCGAGGATGAAGTGCCAATTTTTATTCTGAAACGTGGAAGGTAGTCAGCTCTTTTAGAATCTATGAAAAAAACATTATGAACTAAAGCTTGTATTTTGTGACTTTCTGAAAAATCTGGATAACGGAAAAGTACCAAAAAAACTATAGCCTAGACTGACTGTGAATTGTAAGGAAGATATGCTGTCGCCAAAGTCAACTATAAGAAGATTAAGGAGTGTCGCCGATGGCGATACTCTGTGTACATACTGGATATCTGTTCATCATTGTTTCATTTTGTCTTGTATTGTAGTGGCTAAAAGAGTGCTCCAAGAGATCAACCGGCCAAGTTATCGCAACCTCATTATCTTCAGTCAACAATGACTTTGCAACTAAACAAGTCTAAGGGTATAGATACCGATGGATGAGTAAGATCGAGGATTGCCTCTACAAGTAGTCTGCTGTGAAGACGACAAGTCTCCGATAGGCACATTCACCACAAGTCTACTCCTGGTAGGATTAAATACAACAAATATTCTGGATGGGAGCAACAAGCCTCCTGCTCACTAAGAACTCTTTGAAGAATCAATCACAAGTATCCTGGGAAGCAGTTCGAGGTTTGACAAGTCGGGGACACTCTACATTCACAGTTTCTACATCATCGTTGTTTGTATTAGGGTGAACGGTAAAAAATGGGACACCTTGAGAATAATTGCAGATTTCTCAAGGAAGAAAAGTGACTGAACTTTCCAATTTTGATGGATATTAGAATAAATTATTCTCTTTCAGATAGCACCTATATAAGGTCATTTATATAATTGATAATTTTTATACTTGCTAAAATGCAAAGTTAGTTACTTCGAGAAATTATGAAGTTTGAGCAGTATCGGCGCAGTAAAACATGTGAGACCACCCAAAGTACCACTGCTGGAGTGGGTGGTGGGACAGTCACCAAACCCATGACGGCTTGGTGGCTTTAACTCTTCATGTCAGGGGATATGCCCATTAACAGCTTCGAGAACAAAGATACGCGTTATTCAATTCTTTGCAGGTAAACGCATGATTTCTAGGTATCATCTGATAGAGCTTTTTACGCTCTATCCACCCATATGCAGCTTACCTCAGATTTCATCTATCTTCGGAAAATATAGGGCAAAACATGATTTTTTGGTTTTTTGTTGCGCCAAAAATAGCTATTTTTCAGGTTTGTTCGATTTTTTCTCCTGAAATTGAAAAGAAATCTCACGCATTTAACATATCGTTCGAAAGAGCATGAAGAGCTCTTTCGAATGGTATGTCATTTGCTTTACGACTTTACGGTATAACAGCGCAAGATTGAAAATTGCTCGAAAAACCCTGTTCGAGTTCTTCACGGCGCCACGTGTAGGGTAGTGGAAGAGGAGCGTTAACGCGTTGTCAGAATAATAAGCGAAGGTCGCCCATGTAAGCGACGTTTAAGTTGCCGCTTACTTGCTGTTGCCCGAAACAAAAAAATTCCAAAATGTAATGAAAATCAAGCTGTCCCATTTTTTACCGTTCACCCTAATAGTTATCTTGTAATAAAGCTTGTTTGCTCAAGTCTGAGGTACCCTACAGACCCGCCTGGCAACCCCAAAACAGCTTTACTAGCCATCCCTTTTGCTTCCCCTTTACAAAAATCTTCTATAAAACAGAACCAAATTACAATTTCTCTAGTTGCTCCAGCACGTGAGGTTACTATGCGCACTGGCTCCACAAGATGAAATAGCACATCAACCAACTACCTTACAAATGTTTGAAAAGTTCGTGTCCTTAAGCACTTTGACTGAAAACGCTATATCGATTTTTGCTATGTGTTTCGCCAAACCTAGAAACCACTTAATCAACAAAAAAAACATTTTTTGCCTCACGATACCCTATAAAATTTGGAAGTAAACAATTTTTTCAGCTTTCTTGGAGAGTGCATTATCTGATTTTTTCTTTTTTTTCAACACCGGAAAAGGGGAAACAGCTTTTGATTGTTTTACTACAAAAAGTCCTAGATTTACACTTTCTTTATATAACAAATGTTCTTCAGTAGCTTGCTACCGAAGATTTTTCTATGCGCTGAATCACAGCAGACAGTCGCGGCACCAGTTTGCGTTAAAACATTTTCAGTTTGAAAAATTTTGGAAGTCTTATTTCAACATGTGTTTGAAGCACAACTCTCTAGCCTTCGTTATACTTTTCAAAATTTCGCACGCTTGCAAAGGTTTTGAAGATGAAATATAAAAATTTGATGGACTTTTTGACGAGAAAATCCTGAAAGTGAATCTCTTGTCTTTCAATTCATGAAATCCTAAAACTTACTTTTACGAAAGTATAAGCACATTTAAGATACCTTAAAGGCTTTCAGCAGGTATACCAAGTTTTCTGTGAATTATGTTTCCTTTTTTGTAACAAGCGTTTCAAGGAAAGAGGTTTAAAAGCTATACTAATGTGTTTCAATCTAATAAAAAATCAAAGAAACCGCAAAGAAACTTGATTTTACTGAAATAATGGTTTTTAGGTCTGGTGAGCACAATAAAACAAAAAGCGCATCAAAATTCGAATTGGAAGTACTTTAGGCCACGAACTTTTCAAACACCCTGTATATGCAGTGTATATGCAGTGTAATCCGCTGTGAACATATTTTGATGCGTAACGGCTTCTTTATAACTTTATCCATAACTCATTCCTGCTCAACACTTTCTCCAGGCCGCTTTAATGATTTCTGCCGTTGCGAACATACGACCAATCGGTGCCTGCTTTTATGTGTTTCTTTGATCATAAAAGGTAGCCCTCCACTTTTCTGAATGTTTCCAATTATGACCGGGACTTCATGCACTTCATCGTAGACCAGCAATCTATAGGCATGCGACTCATCCGAAATGGCAGTACTGGTATAATCCATCATTGGGTCGTATTGTCGTGAGTGTTTCAGCACTGATTATTGTCAAGACATTGCGGTCGCAGCTATTCTTTTCATCCTATAAAAAACCATCGAAAATTTACTGATAACAGAGTATATAACCTTCATGCTAGTGGAAAAATCTGATATCAAAATGAATTTGCGGTATGCTGAAAATGGGATCAGTTGAAGCAGATTTTTGGGGCGATTTTGTGTTAAATCTACACTGTATTAGGTTACGACAAAAATTCAATCGTTCAAGTTTTACCTGGTGGTGGTAATTTACTGGTTTGGGAGACTAAAAACGTTAGACACTTAAGACATTGCTCAAACTAATACTGCAATTTCTCACAGTAATCTGCAGGCTTTTCGAGAATTGGCTTCGAATTTTTTCGGAGAGCAGTGGCATAGAAGCAATGGCACAGAATGTACTACCTTACTTTAGCTGCCATTTGCGAGATTTGCCTCCTTATGGTAAAAAGAATGAAAAGTCTTTTGGAGCAACTTTCTTTCATCATTTTGACTTCACCAAAATAAACTCGTAAAAGAACGCCGGTTTTCTAGTTGTAAAGAAAGTACTTTTTTCTCACTTGCAGAAAAAATATGCACATAGTGAGTGCGACATCTGAATGGATGACTGCCTTTGAAAGATGACAACTCTGTCATTCAAATGTCGTGATCAGTAGTTGAAGCAGCCCTTTGATTTTTAATGGAAAGCAGCTTCCAGCGTTTTCATACATTCCTCATCTAAGTTAGAGTTTCGAGGGTTATAGATCTATTTTAGAGAAGTCGACTAAAAGCCGTGAGATCAATCAATATCTTCCACCATTATAGTCGGTAATAAATGGACTTACAGTGTTGATTAATTTCGTTGCAACTAGGAAATGCCCTTGAATTCAATTAAACAGAGTTGAGCGTTCTCGCACAACAATGTGCAATTTAGCTTACTGCCTATCTACTGTAAAAATGTACGGCCTTGATAGCACAGACCACGGTCTCTCATGAGCATACAGGTTGTTGGAGTGATCAAAACTTCTCTTCCCACAAATATTTTGGTGGCGTTTAAGTATAGTTCTGTAAGGCTCTTCAAAGATTTCGTCTGGCGCGATTGCGCGAGTTTACAGAGCATCGCTGTGAACTGATCCATTACAAAAATAATTTTAAAACTCTGAAAAGCAGTATAGCGAGGTTCCCGCACTCTGACTTCACTTGCTAATTCTTTACAGGCTTTATTGTCTTTTTGAATTGTAATCACATTCTAAGAAGCAGTAAAAAGACAGCTTCTGCAATAATCTTAGCTTGACTTATTAAGGTAATGTGGTAAAGTGCAAGTTTCATACTTACTCAAAGTCAGCGACAATGGCCTAGTGCAAGAGTTTCTAGCTTGTTTGGTTTCTTTTTGAGGCAATATGGCTCTCAAAGGTTTTTTCTCAAACCTTCTTTGAAATTCTTGCCATTCTCTCAGTAATGAAGAGCTATCGTAATTAGCACCGTGCTGCTAATCTAAGTTTTAGCCACATGATATCTACGTCAACAAATCTGTGAGAAGAGAGATACAACAACATTCAAACAGTGCATACATACTTTTGGGACACTCTTTATATTTCGGCACAAATTGTCGGAATGCAGTTATCAGCTTGTCCCAATAACTATCGAACACCTTGTGGCGCTACTATAAAGTAAAGACTCTACTATACACCTGCAAACGCTCTATGCAAGCCAAATTCTTGAGTTGTATCACCTTACTCATTATTCCTACCACAGCAACGAAACCAGCAATATGCAAAACCACTTCTGATTACACAGCCACTTGTACGACAGGTGCTAATTTGGGTAAGTTAACAATTCTGCTTGAAGTTGCTTCGCATTAAATAGCTTGCATTCTTTCGGTATGCATTCTCTTATAGATTAACTCTTTCAGCATTATATGTGAAGATTGGCAATAAGACAGGAGTGCACCCGCCCAACGACCCGTTTTTTTATTATCATGAAGTGAAAGGCTTCAGTGTCATCAAAGTAAAATATGGTAGATTGCTGAAACCTGGTAGTTCCATCGTGATCAAGAATATCACATGCAGGTATTGCCAGATAAACTTCGAACCCGGTGCGTGGTACCTTGTTTCAGGTAAGCTCGTTGAACCCGTTGTAACCCATTGTGGTGTTCGAATTTCAGGCCAATATTATGGAGGCACCTTTCTTTGGATGGATCGACTTGGCTTTAGTGAAAAATGGCAATGGTTTCTTATGTGGAAAGTGTGGGCACTTGAGTATCTTTGGTGCCTGAAGTAAACTTGTCTAACTCCTAAAAAGCCAGAAGCCATCCATACTGTGCATAGGAAACGAAAGAAGATAGTACAAGGTGCACATAACATTTAACACTGGCAGTTACATTCCCTTTTGCTTTTTTGTCAAATCTTGAAGCCATGTATCTATTTTTCGTTTTTTGTGTAGTTCCTTTTTCTCCTTTTCACTTTTAATGTCCAAAGGAATGTGCTGCCATGGCCTTGGCCATACTTTATACGTGTTGTCCGTGTTACCGGTGTTACCAGTGCTACTCGTGTTACCCGTGTTACTCGTGTTACTGCTATTAGTGTTACCGCTTTTATTGCTGTTGAATAGTGAAATGATCACAATATAGTCTCATTTCAAAACGCAATATCATAGTGAGTAACACGAGTAACACTAATAACACGAGTAACACGGATAATGCTGGTAACACCGGTAACACGAGTAACAAGGGTAAAATATGGCCAAAGCCTTCCCTCGCAGGAATTAGACATGTGAGGTGGCAGCTCTGAACCAAGGAGCAAGCAGTTTTGACTATTGTTATGACAAGCATTTTTTCAAATAAAATCCAAATATCTTTGCTCGTATTGGCACCGCTTTTGCAGTACGGATCTGTATTTCCACTACTGATCAGCGTTCGGTACGGTACGGACGGCATTCATAATAGTCTGAACAAGTTAAGACCATAACACAATTTTTCGAAATCTTGCGAAAAGTCAAAACCTACTTCTGCAAATGTCATGTCAAAGTATATGGATTATAACACTAATTTTGTTCTGCATGTAACATGAAAGGTCCTGAAATTTCAATTTACAAAACTGATCGAAAGTCGCGGCAAATCAATTTTATTAGCTGCAATGTCTAAGCTTGGTGACAGCAGCCATTTCCTCGCCTTTTTATATGAATTTTCATGAATCTGTTAATCTATCTGTGCAATGACGGTAATCAGTGCCGAAATCGCTTCTCTTTTACACTATCGTATAACTTCTTAAATTTTCTTACGGTGAAACAAACCTCAGTTTGCAAAACGCGCGCAAGGGCAGGGAGTCGCCAAAAAATATTCACATCATTCCACATCGCCTCTGCATTTCGCTCGTACATATGCTTCGCTTCTTCTCGCATTCTTTGTTCGTGCTAACATTTGACTTTTTCCTTTCTATTTGCCCATTGTTTACGCTGATTACAATGAAATTCTCATGCTTATTCTCTTAGACACACGACACAACAATACACACACAGCAGCACAGAACACACACAACGCACACAACACACGCACAAAACACACACAACACACACATTGACCGATACGTCCTATACGCTGCTGCATGACGAAGGCGCAATATCATTGGGCGCGAATGTGGCTTTATTACCGCAGTGCGCATGAGGCGCAGGGCTTATAACGGTGAGGATATGTGCGCGCCGAGTTCGCGCTCGCCCAACTAATACCGCTTCTGCGGCTTCGTCACGCAGTTGCCTTCACACACAGACAGACTAACAGACATTCACCTTCATTTACACACATTGCTTCCAACGTTGTTGACTTTTCCAAGGTGTCTGCATTGTCATTGCATTGTCACAAGGTTGAAGAAATTTTCAGAAAGCAGCTTTTTGAGAGGAACAGGAGAATGGGGAACGAATGACTACAATGTAAGGCGCTGCTGTGACTGGTGGAGCCTCAATTTAACCCCCTCCCGCCCTTTGGGACAAGCATGCCTTTTATAATCAGACACGGGCCTGCTATCGGAGTGAAGTCAAAGGCAGAAAGGTGTTTGGTCTAACCTTATTATGGGTATTGCCGCAAGGCCCTGGGCATACCTCACGCGATTTCAGTCGCGACGCGATTTGGCAGTACTCCATTTGTTCATACATCGTAAAGGTTTCCTAATGTATCGAAAATAGGCCATTCTATCAATCTACGAAAGTTGTACATACTGTGTGTTTGCCTGGTAGTGCTGAATTCGAAGACATCTGGCAATTTGCCAGATCGCGTGGCGATTGATTGCGTGAGGTATGCCCACTACCTAACAAGGGAAGGATACTAACATTAGTTGGCAACTGAAGATGAGATGTATATCATTAGATGCGCCTTCGAACGCTGATTCCAAATCTGCTTTCATTCTTTGCGGAATAAGTTTTCCGAAAGAAGTTATGAGCGTTTGAATGTCCAGATTTGCCAGCATTGAGTGGCTTAAAATCAGCGAAAAGCTCTAAGACAATACCTATGTGATTTCCACCGGCTTTCTTCCTTCCTTGCAAACAATATACTCTATACAAAAATAATTTTCCACTTTCCCGAGTTTTTGTACTGCTTTTCGCCAATTTTAGGCCACCTAGACCTTGAAAAATTTAGACATTTAAACGCCCACAACTTCTTTCAAAAACTTAATCCGCAAAAATGGAAAGCAGATCTGGAGTCAGCGTTCAAAAGCGCGTCTAGTGATATACATCTCATCTTCAATCGCCGACTAATGTTGGTATCCTTCCCTTGTAAGTAGGTACAATTGGCTGAACTGTCGAATGAGGCAGTCGACAGCTCAATACTTCCTTCCTTCGACGTAACAAATCGGCTTTAACGGTGCAAGAAAAGCGCCTACGGAAATGTTACATTCTCTCTCAAAAATCTATGTAATATTAAAGTATTGTTCCATCCTTAAAAGCATGACTTCTCGTTATCAAAGATTTCGTACAATTTGATTACGTTTAGAAGAATAAAAGAGAGAACAAAAGTAGGAGTGAAAGCCTGCAAAATAACAATGATTTTTGGTCTGATTGGTCAGTTTGTCCTAGAATTTTTTTTCCAGTTGCTGAACACTCAAACAACACACTCGCTTCTCCATGATTGAGCTATTGATGCTATCGAAGTCAAATGTTTGTAAAAATAAAAGCATGATTATCTAAACTATGCATGACGTTTTGAACAGGGACGAGCAAAAAATTAGGCTAGCTCAGGGCATAATTCACGTGCGTATTAGCCAGAAAAGTTCTTGACTTAGCAAAAGAATTGCTTTGCAAGCAGAATTCTCACATGAGAAGCTTTCGCCACTTTTCACACCATATTGTAAAGCTGGTCTCAACTTAAGATCTTCGTTCCTGTAGGATTGCGCAAGGAACTTTCGGCTTATAGAGCCATTAGCCGTGTTTTAAAACTTCAAAAAATCTGAAAGTTGTGCCCCAGAGTAATACGCGCATTGTCCATTACTCAAGTTTTTGCGAGTTTGCAAACTTTTCCAAATGGTAGTCACCACTTAGACAAAATTATTGACGCAGTTAATGCAATCTTCTTGGCATAACTTATAAACGAAGCATTGCATAATAGCGAACTATTCAAATTCAGCGTCTTTGATGTGTCTAGTGAAGGATCCTTCGTGTTGTTTGGTGCGCTGTTTGAACCAAAATACTGCCACCATTATCTGAAAACTCTTTACAATTCTTACCGTAATCTTACAGCAATGAAGAGCAACCGATGGTTTGCTCTATACCGCAATCCAAAGTTGAAGGCTACAGGTACTTGAAGGAAGGCGAGAGTCCTTCGCATAAGAAAGCTAACAGGGATTGAACGTTCAATATCTGACACTCTGTACAATCGTCAGTTTGGATCTTATGGACGTTTCAAGCAGAGTGTTTCCTTCGAAGTTTGCACCACTCTCAACCTTCAACCATGACAGCAAGAAGATATACCTTTTGATTCAACTGGCTTGGCGCCTGGAAGGCGGGAGTTTGTAACTTAATTAAGGCTAGGTAATGACCAGAGCACGCGCGCGGGAGAGCGTCTGCATCGCGGGCGCGAGCTATCTCAATTAGGTAACAAAGTCCTGCCTTCCACCAGGCGCCAAGCGAGTTGAATTAAAGGTTACCTGGTCTTCAATTTCACTATGTTTGAAGCAATATCTGAGCGGCTACATGTTGAACCGCGACCTTGACAAACCTAGCTGAATGGAGTCTATAGTTAGAAAACCACGACTTCGCTCGGTCTCATCGACAATATGTTCTGTTTTATTTATAGCAAAAAAAATTGTGGTTAAAAGCTCTTTCGCAAATCAAATAAACAAACAGTGTTGTGTTGGTGCCGTTGTTCAAAGTTTATTTATACAGAAACGAAGCGGGGGAGTATGGGGTGCTATGGCAGCAATTGGTAGGTAGAGCACTGCCGAAAAAAATGGAAAAGATGCCCGAAAATCGAACAAAAACAAAACTCTGCCGTTCCTTGCTGTATGCACACTTTCCCATCTTGGCTGTGTAGCGGGCGTCGGGACTTGCCTAGTTAATATAAGCGCTGTCTTATGTGCGGTGATCATCAATCCTCAAATGCTTTTATTTTTTTTTTGAAACAGTTTCCAACACGTAAAACTAATAATATAATAATCTATTAATATAATACTCTTCATACGAATTTTATTCAATGCAGATTCATAGACGTCATTGAGTTTGCAAGAGTGAGTAAACAGGTTGAGGCAAGTTGGAGAAGGGTTTGCTGAAGCATTTTTGTATGGAATGAACGGATTCGCAAATACGATATCTTATCGCACCGCATAGACTAAGTCCATTTTATTCTCATGAAAAGCCCATTTCGCAGGGACTTTCGTGGATATCATTCCATTTTGATATTGGGTCGTCAACAAAAGCTGCTGTTTCTGTATGTTTCGAATAAAAGCGTATTTCTGCAACGATTGGGGCCGACTTTGCATACAAGTTCAGAGCGGCGCGTGTCTCATAGGTTTTTTCGTCTTTGATTTGGGCAGACTTTGAGCTGCGGGCTGAGAGTAGGCGGGCTAAGTGAGTACAGATTACAAATGCAATAACTTTTCAGGATTATCGATTGCCTTTATCAATGTTATCGATTTCTGGAAACATTGAGCAGAGGAATGGGAGTTGGCACAGGGGTGTAAGCGAGGCTATTTACGAATACAATTATTGTTTGTAATGCCCACTGCTTTCGTGTTTTCTTGCAAATTTTGATCTGCGGAACAGGAAATCTGTAGAGGAGAGAGATGCGGGAACCTGGC